ATAAATTGAATGGGTAATTTAAATATATAAAATCTAAAATGCTCATTATTATTATTATTATTATTATTATTATTATTATTATTATTATTATTATTATTATTATTATTATTATTATTATTATTATTATTATTATTATTATTATCATTATCATTCTCATTATCATTCTCATTATCATTCTCATTATTATTATTGTTATTATTATTGTTATTATTATTATTATTATTATTATTATTATTATAATATTATTATTATTATTATTATTATTATTATTATTATTATTATTATTATTATTATTATTATTATTATTATTATTATTATTATTATTATTATTATTATTATTGTTGTTGTTGTTGTTGTTGTTGTTGTTGTTATTGTTATTATTGTTATTATTATTATTAATCATAAATTACCAAATTCAAAATTTGCTTTTGAAATTTTACGTAACACGTTGTAAATAAACACTAGAATTGCATAACAAAAGCAATAAAATAGATATGATAGTTTTGAGAAAATATGTTTGATTGATGTTGGACTACTAATTGACGTTCTGTATTGAGAGTAGAAGAAGAAAACACATTATAATCGAAATAGAGATGTCAACCATCAATTTTAGGTTAAAAAATAGGGGTAATTTTGTCTCAAAGATATTTTTTTCTTCCTAAACTCCATGGAATTGAAATATCGGGGGGAGGGGGGCATGTGATTCTAATTCCTTAAAAATGAGAAAATTTTAATTCCGCGGAATTGCAATTCCCTCTAACCAAACGAATGAATTTGCTTGTCGTACGTTGGAATTATGTGGGAATTAGGTGGGAATAAAATTGTAATTCCCTCCAACCAAATGGCAAACGCTGAGTTTGGAGTTGATGACTTAATTGGGTAAAAGAACAATAATAAAGGAACTTTAGTTAGTGTTTTTTAAAAGGTAACTTGAGTTTATTAGTACGTGTTAATTGACAATTTGACATACATTATAAAAGATGCGTTAGGTAGTGAAATGACAATAATAACACAGATTTAGACAATAAATTGATTGGAGTTCTGATGGAGGAAGGTTATTGGTAACTTTTTAATAGTTGAGGATGTAATTGAATCAAAATTGAAAATTGAATTGAGTAAATCAGCCACATGCATTAGCTGATGAACATTAAGCGGTATTACCTCTAATCCGCCTTTTAGTCCTTAGCTTTTCAAATAATTAATATAGATATTGCATAACACGTAACAATTGAGAGACTTAAGAGTGTGATTTCACCTTCCATCTCTTATATCAAGCTAATGAATAAAATTTATATTAAAAAAATTGAATTTAAAAAAAAACAAAAAACAAAAAACAAAGAAACAACTAATGCAGGAACAATATAATAAGAAACATACCAGACACCAAAGAAACAACTAATGCAGGAACAATATAATAAGAAACATACCAGACACCAAAAGCAGCAGGATAACGACCACCTTCCGACAATGAATCATCTTCCTCGTTTCCATGCACCTAACGTCCTCTGCAAAAATTCCAGGAAAGGATAGCTAATATCTTACGGGTAGCCACCGCCGTCGACCAAAGCCCAGTCGCCGCCGCAGGATTTTCCGTTCCCGGCTAGCTCTTCTTCTGCTCGAACCGTACCGGAAAAAGTGGAGCCCAGAGTCCAGCTGGATGCATTATTGTTGGGCGGGGAGAAAAATCTAAAGAGGGGTAACGGAAAATTACGAGAAAGAAGAAGATATTTACAGGGTTCCATTAATACAACAAGCGTTATGTCATCATCTTACTGGAGATTAATTAATTTAACTGCTTTAATTTCTCAGTAATGCGCGCGCTCCAGTTTTAACTTCATTGCCCTGCAATCATTTGCCATAAATACCATTTCTCCGCCAGCTAAACTTCTGCATGGAACTGGCCGGAAAAAAAGTTTGTTGTCCTGGCGTTTTGATTGAAATGGCAGATCTCATAATGTAATCTGTATATATGAAGAATGAAAAGCATTAATGAAATAGTTTTTTTTTTTCTTTTTTTGAGCGAGAGTAAACACACAGTACTATTTGCAAGTGTGCATGAGTAAACTCACCTCGTGACTTTAGAAAGTAAATCAGGGAGGTTGTTAGAGCATCTCCAACCTCTCTATCTAGAAAACATCAAATTTTTTCAGCAAATGTCACATTAGAAGAATATTCTCGCACCATATTTTATTCATCTCCAACTCATTTATACTAAAACACCAAAACATCAAACTTTTACACTAAAATAATTTAATTTCTCAATTATTAGTTCGAATATAATTAGTTTAATATAATTTAGTTCCAACTTAATTAGTTTAATATAAAATATAACTTATGATGTAAATAATAATTTTTATTAATATTAATTTTTTATAACACTAATTATTTTAAAAAATTGAATTTAACAATATTTTTGAAAATTGAATTTATTCCAATAATAATATAGCATACAACATCTAGTACATTTAATTATCGGAATTACTATATCGTTTCCACAAATGCTCAATCAATGCATTATGGAGTGCATAATGAGCCTTTTTATCTTTAATTTGTCTATGCCAAGCAAGAAATTCTTGAAATATAATATTTTCATCTCTAGCTATATCAAGAGCCGGTGCTTCCTTCCAACCTTGTATATCTGCTTGCTCATCACATTCATCTTCAATGATCATATTGTGCATTATAATGCACGATGACATTATATCATGCAATACACATTTATCCCAAAAATGTGTCAGTCTCTTGACTATTGTAAATCGTGATTGGAGAACTCCAAATGCACGTTCTACGTCTTTTCTACACGATTCTTGCATCATCGCAAATAACTTCTTTTTTTGGCCCTCGAGGTTCATGAATTGTTTGTACCAATGTGGACCATTTTGGATATATACCATCGCATCGGCTAAATAATATCCTGTGTTGTAGTCCTGTCCTTGAATAACATAATGACAAGGAGGTGCTACACCATTTGCAAACAAATGAGATGCCTCCAAGACATTAATGTCATTATTAGACCCTGGCATGCCAAAATGTGCATGCCAAATCCACAAATCATAATCAGCTACAGCTTCAAGAATAATAGTTGGTTCTCTACTCTGCCCAGCATATTGTCCAGCCCAGCCAGTTGGAAAATTTTTTCAAGTCCAGTGCATGCAATTTAAACTCCCAAGCATTCCTGGAAAACCACGTTTTTCGCCAATTTGAAGCAACCGTGTAACATCATTAGCATCAGGTTCTCTTAGATATCAACACATCAACATCGGTCAACAAACTAAGAGGATGCATTCAACAGATAGAGAACATGAATCCAAGTGGTGCATCTGAACAAGATATTGTGAGTATATTGTAAATTTGTGTTATTTAGTTTTCTCGTATTTTTTGTTTTAATTGCGTTGTTTAATTTGAATTATATTTTATTTATAACTGCTTGATAGAGCAAAAGAGTTAGTAAAGCAAGATCCCAAATTCAAAAGCGGATTTAAGTTTGATCATGTATGGCCTATTGTCAAAGACATGCAGAAATTTTGCAGAACTGGAAGCTTGCTAAATGTTGGAGGTCGAAAAAGAACTTTCGAAGGATCACAATCATAATCTTTTGGAATCGAGAAGTCAATAGGCTCTTCCTCATTTCCTATTGATTTGAATGATGATTTTGAATCTGATGAACATTGTAATGAAATGGACAATGTAGGTGAACGTCCTACGGGAAGGAAGAAGGAAAAGATGAAGCAAAAACTCTCGGATGAGCGCAATCGAATTATCAATTTATTGCCGCAATGGAACAACAAACTGCACAATTCAAAGGAATGTTCGAACACAATCATGAGCTACTCCAAAAACAATATGAGCTTGATTTGTTTAAAGCTCAAAATGCAGCGAACAAAATAACATTGGCAAAACAAAAAGAAGATAACAAAATCTTATGAGTGAATTTAAATTTGATAGAAGATCCAGCTGTGCGTGAGTCGATTAAACGCCAACAACTACAAATTGTTGCAAAGAGAAATCAAGAGCATGGAGAAGGAGTTGAATCAAATCGTGAATTTGATCAATACTTTAACAATTTGGGAGGAAGTGGGAGTGGACTAGGAAATTATTAATTTTATTATATATATATTTTTTAAATTGTGTTGTATTTTCTAATATTAATATTACGTCGTATGTATTTTATTTTTTATTATGTTCTAGTCAGCATGTTTGATGTATCTCGTATGTATTTTCACTTTTATTATGTTCTAGTTATGTTTGATGTATTTGAAATTTTAATTAATATATATTCAATATTAGTCTTGTTTCGATCGTCTCAATGAGATCTTTAAAATTGTATAATTTTTATTTAATAATACAAAGTTTAAATATAAGTATTTAACAAAATAAAAAATTACGTATAAAACAAATAAATGATACATTTGGAATTATAAAAAGAAGGAAGGGCAAAAGGGTAATTTTCTTTTTCATTTTTAATTTGCCGCGGATGAACAGTGCAGCGCCATATTTCATTATCGCCATTTTTTTTTGGCGTAATAGCGCGATGCAGAGACACCTTGGAGAGAGAAATTTGGTGGGATGGTGCTTTGGCGTTGAAATTTGACGCACGTTGGAGATGCTCTTAATAGATTGGCTCAAACCAAAAAGACCAATAGACAGTTCCACTTTGAATCGGACTTGTAACCCTGTGGTTACCAAACAATAAGACCAATTTATCCGGGGTTGCCTCATGCATAAATAGCCCCGAAAGAGATTAGCTGGTGAACATAATTATCTTACCAAAAACTCAAACTCTTTGTGTCGAGCTCGTTGGCACACCTTCTAATAGTGATTGCGGTTTCTCTCGTCATCCAAAAAAAAAAAAAATTTTTTTTTACCAAAATCAACCAATCTAACAAGAACTATATAAGCTAGCAAGATTACAGGTTGTACAAATTGCAGAGGATTGTTCAAAAATGGGAAGAACAACATTGTATTTTTTATTTATTTATTTTTTTTTGGTGAAAGAAGAACAACATTGTATTGGTTTATCTGGTAAAGGCCAAAAACTTCATTTCTTCTGCACGTACCATGTAGAATGTACGAATTCAAGAAAACCTAGTCTAGTCTAAACGAGGGAGTCCTTGGCTCCATGGTTTTCCTTTTCTTGCTGATAACTAATGTTCTTGGCCACCAAAAGTGGTGTGGTGTTATCCCTGTCTTTGTCCTGAAAAAAAAAAAAAAAAAACATTTTAGTTGCCATTAATAAAGAGGAAGATTATTTGATATAATTAACCAGAAAAAAAAGTGTTTTTAGTCTTTTAGTCATGCATTTCTAGTCATTTTAGTCTATATATTTCAAACGTTATAGGATACACCACTAACTTTCTAGTAATGTTGAAGCTTTAGTTCCTCAATCAACTAATGAAATCGTGAACCATATTAGCAAAAAAAAAAAAGTATATTTATATGTGATTTTTTAAATAAAAAAATACATGCTAATCAGACATGGAACATGTGATAAATTATAACAGAGATTAGTTCACAGTTCTATAGCCCTATAGGATGAAGAAAATCGTAACACATTTATAAAGATCGAGATGTATTTTGCAACGAATGAAAGACATGCAGAGACTAAAATGATTTGATCGAGTTGCATAATTAAGGGAACTAAAACCACAATTTTGGCACAAATTAAAAGGAATCATCGAATTAGTGTCTTACTTGAGACAAAGAGGATAATTCTCCATATGAGTGTGACTTCCTCTTGGTTTCATGTGTGCAGAAATAGGAGTACAAGCCCATTCCAACAATGGCAACCAAAATTCCAATAATGTTCCTAGCAGTGAAGGGATCATGCAGCAGTGTATACCCAAACCCAAGAACAAGACATGTTTTCAAGTGCCCCAACACTTGATATGTCACAGGTGATGTCTTCCCAATCACCAAGAATGTGCTGAAGTTCACTGACACAGCAATCAAGCATGAAAGTGCTATAAATCCCTGCATCATTAACCATATATAGTCATGGGATATTATTGAATATATAGGGAATAAATTATCTATTTTACCAAACAGGCTATATGTACTCCCGTAGGCTAGACCTTTGCCTCACTGCGCACAAAGAGCCCCCCTACCTTTACCAAACAGGCTATATGTACGCCCGTAGGCTAGACCTTTGCCTCACTGCGCACAAAGAGCCCCCCTACCTTTACCAAACAGGCTATATGTACTCCCGTTCTTTACTCCATCATGGTGACTCAACTGAACATGAACCATAGAGGCGTTCTTTACTCCATCATGGTGACTCAACTGAACATGAACCATAAAGGCTAGACCTTTGCCTCACTGCGCACAAAGAGCCCCCCTCACTTTGAGAGATTGCTCCCACACTGCCGCTAGTGAGACTCGATCCCTGGTCATTCTTCCAAAGTTTCACCTCTATGACCAGTTGAGCTACCCATGCGGGCCTAACCCGATAAGTTCAATCTAACAAATAAAGTGCACGTAATAGATAAAGTATAAAACAATTGGACTTACCAATACCATTGGTGAATAATTATAGGAAAAAACAGATTGGTTGGTGAGGAATTGATCCAACAAAGGCCCTGTCACAAAAAGAATTGCAGATTGAAATGGTGCTGATTGGTATAGCAGCTGGGTAGCTGAGATGTTCAACCTCTTTTGTATTGTGTTGGTAAGCTCAATTACATCATCGATCATTAAGGATAAAACATTTGATAATCATGCACCCAATAATCATAATCATTAAAAAAACAATAATTACATACTATAATTAGAAAAGATTTTAATTGAAGAAATTAAAATGTAATAATTAATTAGAGATGGAGGTGAGGATACAATTTGGCCAACACAAGTTGTTATGATGGCAAGGAGGGAAAGGACTGTCCCAACAAAATTGAGCTGGAGATCGGTGACGGAGGCGATGCCGACGCCGATCAGGAGGACTCCGAGAGACAACTTTATATTCCGGCTGTCGGAAAAAAAATAATTATTATAGAGAGTTCAAAAATTTTAACTTTTTTAAGATGACGAGAGTAACTCTAGTTATTACTCAAGAATTTTGGTTTATTAATTATATTAGAATATGTTGAACAAATTAAAGTATATATTGCAGCACCTGAATTGTTTATTCAAGAAAATGGTTTCTAGCAGCACAGTGAAAGGTATAATTGCAAGTTTTGTCATCTGCAAAGAGAAAGAAAAATTACCATCAATGCCATTCCAAATCAACAACATTAATGAAATTTTAATCCCTTAATTATTCATCATATATATGTAATTTAGTTTGAAGTTCAGTCAATGTGATCTCTGAATTAATTATTGTGTTGTAAATTTAATCTCTCAAGTTCGTTGTAGATTTAGTTAATTTCGTCGTCAATTGTTTACTTATTAAGCTTTCATTAAAACAAAAAATGTTTGAGGAACTAAATTGACTGTATTTATAACTTGAGGGGTTAGATTTACAATACGATAAACAATTATAAGACTACATTGACTAAAATTGAAAAC